AAAAGTAAAACCATCAACTAAAAGTTAAACTTGGATAAAGAACATGTTAACAAAATAAATTATTTGAAGTTAGTTAATATTTTCTCAATTAAGAAGAGTTAGAGCGCATCCATGTTGGGGTCTCGGACATAAATTCTTCAATTCCTTCGCCTTGCGCCAATGATGGAGTCTCAGTCATACTAAAATCCTCATTTTCGTTGTTTGTATCATTTCCATTGTCGTCATTTCCATCACAATCAAGATCAAGATCATAAAAATGTAATTCATCTGAAAATAGTTTTAAATTTCAACGTTACATCATATATACTTTAATAAAAAGAAAAAAAAAAGTAATAGCATCAATCAAACAATTACCATCATTTTTATCATTTTGTATAGAGCATGCACTCAAATCATAAGGTAAGGAAAATCATAAGGTGGCACAAATCATAAGGTAAATCATATAATCAGTATTTTTCGGTAATGTTGAAATTAAAGATGCTAGATGATAACACAAACATGATCAGCTCCCACAAAATTCTCCAGTAGCATGATTCAACAAAATACTAGCCAATGATCAAAGAGAAGTGATGATAAAGGCAGAAAGCCTGTGGTTCTCAAGGAAAGTATAACAATATTAATCATGCATAGTTAAAATAAATGGCACTAATGCAGTCAATCCAAACGGTAGACGGCATATGACCAAAAATTTGCTGGTCCAAAAAGAAATCAGCTGAAAATTAACATCATTATATTTTCCATTATCCAATAAAATTAATAGCTAAAATTGGTGAACCAAAAGAGTCCAGAACATAGGCATCCTGTCTTGTAAGTTGGATTCTATATTAAAAATAAGAATCTACAAAGCATATTGGCCCAAAATTCTCCAGAACATAGGCATCCTGTTTTTGTTATCTTAGTTGCTAAATAAGTTCCTTTTCCCCTTTAAAACTGATTTACAGGAATCTATATGAAGACGTAGTTTTGTACTCCAAGAGAGGGGAAATACTGCTTTGCCTCAATATATATTGTATAACACCGATTTTGCAGCAGTTCAAAAAAAATGTTCAAGATACCTAAATAAAGGGAAATACTCATTTGAAATTAATTCATTCATACTCCATTAAGATATATTTTAAGCATGAAATTCAGATAAAAATCAAGTAAAGTATACAACATAGAACATACAGACAGGTAGGTCGTTGAAGTTGAGGTAAAAATCTTTCAAAAATCACCAATTTGAAGATATATTTTCGCGCATAATTTGAGGGGGAAAAACTGAAATTTACAAAGAAACTCATAAAATTTAAACTCACATCTTCTTCTTCCATCTAATACAACTTGAAATTTGAGGATTTGGATTTTAGGGAATGAAATTCCAAGGAATGCTGCCGCCTGCTCTTCTACAGGAATGGGAATAGGGCTTACTGCTTAGGATTGTGAAGGAGAAGGATAAATGGGATTTTAAATGAAGTTTGTGGACCGGGCGGTTTATTAGTTGTTGGGTCAGCGGTTCAGTGAAAAATCGGTGGTTCCTTTGGGTTTTTAGAGATTCAGCAACATAGTTAAAAAATTAAGCAACTCGGACCGGACCATGGTCTGGTTCGACGATTTTTGGGTCGAACTGGCCGGTCCGGTCCGGGTTTGATAACTATGCATATATCACAATTGATTTATTTATTTTTTTGAAAATGTGTGGTTAAAAAAGAAAGAATTTTTTTTTTTTAATTTACGTGTAATATTATTTTATTGAATAATACATATTTGATAAAAATAAATTATAATTTAATGAAAAATAATAGGGGCCAAACAGGGGCATGAATAGAGATGTCAACGAGTCGAGTCGGTTTGCGAGCCGAAATTTTAGGTTGGGCTTGGCTCGAGTAAAATGATCGTGCCTTTTTTCAGGCCCAAGCTACTCGGCCAAAAAAATTAGGTTTACTCGGCCAAAAAAATTAGGCTCAACCCGAACTTTCGGCTCGAGCCTTTCCGTTTTGGTGTTTTTTCCCCTAGAACACATGGTAGCTGGTGTGCTGCCTTATTTTAAGGCAGCGTGCTGCTGCCTTTAAATTTCTTTTTTTTTTTAAATATAGGCTGGTGAGCTCGATCTGACGAGTCACACGGGCCGGCTCGGTCTTTGCCCGACACCCCAAAATGAGGCTCGATTCTTTCAAGCCTCAAGTCGGGCGGGCTCGAGCTTTTTTCAAGCCGAGTTGACGAGCCCATTGCCATCCCTGGGCATGAATAATAGTAATTCTCACAAAATGTGTAAAGAATAAATGAGTAATAATATAAGTGTTTTGGTAGAAACTTTTACTAATTATCAAACGAAGGCTTAACAATCGCTTAAAAGAGGGTTGGCAAGACGCTTGAAAAAGGTCAAGTACCTCAAGCTAATAACTAGATTTCATTGAGTCAATTTGACATGACTTTTGCTTTTACATTTACTTCTTGCGGAAGGGTTTCTTGAAAAAGCAACTTTAGTTTTTGTTTGTAAACTAAATTTTAAAAGAATTTTCTATTTCGAAAATGTTTTTAAAGAAAACTAAATTGGACCAACTTTTTCTAAAAACTCTTTACTTAGAAGAAACATTTTTATAAAATTAGGGTCCGATTAGCTAATTTTATGAAAGTGTTTCTTTTAACTAGAAGATCTTTTAGAGAAAGTTGGTCAAATATGACTTCCTCTAAAATATTCCTGGAATAAGAAACTCTATTAAGAATTAGGTTCCAAACAAAAATTAAGGTAGTTTCATGTCAAATGGGTTCAAAAACAAATTTTGAGCCTCAAAAATTCATTTTAACTTCTTAAAAGCCATGTCAAACATGCCCATCCATATACACATGCATGCACGCGCACACGGATCATCAATGACCACTAGGTAAATCTACGAATGAGGATTTTAAGTAGAGCATTAAGTCTATGTTTGAGCTCCATCTTTCCCCAAATTTATTTTCAACCCCATCTTTCATAAAATAATTTCACATAAACTCAAAAAAATTCCATGTTTTTTAAACAAATAAAAAAAATCACTATTTCAAAATATATTTTCCTTAAAATGGAGCTCAAACAGTGCCTAATTGCCCCCCAAAAAAAGAAAAAAAGAAAAAAAAAGCACTTAGGATGAAAGCTAAGCAAACAAACAAGTTACAAAACTCTAGTAGTCCTTATCGTAAATGATGCTTACTACTTTATTTTGAATAATATTATCTAGTATCAGTAGTACTAGAACACCAGTTTACGTGGTCACACTTGATAGATTCAATTAAATGAATCAAATGATATTATATTTAAGTAAATCTATCGTGTAATGACATGCAATTGTTACTTAAACTGGTATTTGTAATATTACTCTTTTATTTTGATAGTTCATATCACATTTGATAGTTTATATCATATTCTGCCAAGTCACGTAGGGCAATGAGAGGACTTGGGCTTTGGGCCTTTTCTAATGAGTTCTTTCGAAGAAAAGAGAACGTTAACAGATAACATTGTTAGGCTAAAGGTAGAAAGGAAATAATTTAAGGTGCGTTCTCTTTGTTGTTATTGGCCGTTTTCTATTTTCAGTTATCCGAAACGGTGAGAACGCGTTCTTTTTCCCATTTTCAAAAACGCGTTTTAAAAAAAAAAAAATTGTACTAAAAACACAAAATGATGTTTTTTTTCGTTTTGGATGTTTTCTTTGCAAAAATAGAAAAACTTGAAAACACGAAAAACGCTCCCACTTTCAAGTCCCCCGTCTCTCTCTTCTGGAAGTAGTTGGATTCCTTCTTTTCCTTCGCCGTCTATGGATGCCCGTCTCTGTTGACGATCGAACGGAGATAAGCTACAGTTCCTCACGACGTGGTTGATGGAGGCGACCTATTCATTGCTGAATCCGTTTGTCAACTGCGAGTTTGCTATGTCGAATTTCTGCTGTAGATTTCGATTTTCTATGTTGTTTGTTGTCATAATACCATGTATGGACATGCCTTGCTAAACTTGATCGACTTGTGGGGTGTAATTAACATGGGCAGCAACTAAGTTGGTCGAATTTGGTAGAAAATTGTTCGTGAGTGGTTGTTTTTGGACGGTAATTGGCTTGATTTTACTGTCATTTGGGGTTGTTGTTTGTGTAGGGTTAGTGGAGATTGATGAGGAGATGGTGTTGGTGCAAAAATCTAGTGGCGACGGTGGCCGGAAGTCGGGTAGTGGTCGATTTGTGAGGTTGAAGACGGTAGCTCATGGTGGATGGAGAAGAGAAAATGACAATTTTGATTTCCAGAAAAGAACACGTTTTTAATTTTCATGCTTTAAAAAATATTTTTCCAAATTGGCAAAAAGAACGTATTTTCAACAATTTCAAAAAAGACATTTAAAGCACAAAACTCATAATAAATTCAAAACTCAAACACAAATAGAGCATCCCCTTAAATTCTGCCATGGTTGATTGCTTCGAGGGGCGTATGTAATCTTTCATGTAGTAACTTTAAGCAGAATGTACAAATACAAAATCTTATAAAAATTCTACTTTTCATTCCCGATTTTTTTAAAGACTTTCACCGACAAAAAAGAAAGAAGGAAAAACGTGTTCAATGTAAAATATTTTTCTTTCCTTGTTTATTTTACAAACACTAAAATCATGATTCAAAAATCAATATTTTTGTCTTTTTTCTACATGTTGTTGTTGTCATTATTTTAATATTTTCATATCATTTTTCTCTCTCTTTTATAATTTCTCCTTTTTTTCTATGAAAAATATCAATTTGTAAATAAAAAAATCATATAAGATTTC